TACTGGTGATATGACATCCTCTCAATCGAAGTGGAGATGGTTGAGTAAGAAGTGTCACCTTCCAGCAGGCTTTGTGACGCCCTTCTGGGTTGTACAAGAAATTCTCTCCTACGACTACGTGCAGAAAGCTCGCGCCGTCGCCTTGTCCAGTCCTGCATGATCTGGTGCACAGCCATGCAAGGTGCATGGCTGGCCAGCCACTCGAATCGAATTCTACCTGAGGATTCCCGAGTTGTGAGCATCGGAGGCGCTACATTCTCCCTAGGAGCCAAAGGATTCGAAAGGCTGATGAAGCTCACAGATCCCAGAAGCTCACTCACTGTCTGGACCTGAATTACTATTCTCACGCACGGAATTGGATCACAGTCAACGCTTCGTGGATGGAAGTCACTCACTGCACATCGAGGCTCACTGCTGTAATTTATTCGAAGGAAAGGACGAGAAAAGCTTATCCTGTATGACCTCGATTTCACTGCTGTCCTGGTCCAGCTTCCGTCAGGTCGGGCCTGGCACCGACTGCAAGGGACAAAAGGGACAAATTCGCCGGGCCGAGGAATGACCGTGGCTGGAGATTCGCATCGTGAGAGCGCCCACGGAGTGTGGAGAATATGCACAGAGGGACTTTTAGTGAATGATGTGAGCTACACCGCATTCAGTCTCGGTCATGACTCCGGCCTTTCGCACATCTGACATATTCAACCCGAACGTAGTCGTTGATGAATCATCGACTTATAATATCACGGATCTATTTCCCGATCGGGATACGAAGCATTGAAAAATTCATTATTCAAATATACTCCGATTATGGAAGTTGCTGTTGGCGTTCCTAGTGTACTCTTGCCTCTCATATACTTGATCGATCCGAACACTAAGATTGTGATTCGATCGATCCATTCTTGCAGTTTTGCCCAGAGAATTTCCAATTGAGAGCAACAATTGAGAAATATAAACAGGACGGGACATACCAAAGGCCAACCATGATGCTAAAAGAGATCGATCCAATTGTAAAGTTTTGCCCAGAGATTTTCCAATTGAGAGCAACAAGTGAGATTTAGAAACAGGACGGGAGATGCCAAAGGTCAACAATGAGGTCAAAAAAGAGTTGTCGCTTCGAGTACTTGAGCTCTGTCAAGTAATTTGGAACGTGACCCACCAACCTCTACCATGTACTTTGCAAGTGGAACGAGCTTTGAATTTCCCATGTGGATGGTTTACTACTTGTTGACATTTGCGACTTGCATACTTGAAACTTCTGCTTCGAAGCTTCCCAATTAGCTTGCAGGTGATGTAATGTCAATTTCAAGCTATGTCAACAACCCTGAAGTCTTCCTGTTGTGTGTATTCGTTGAGCCTTTTATGATTGAGTCACCGTGTGGGTCATGGTGCGCAGTGCCTACAACTGGAAAGTCACTTTTTGTCCAAAAGAGAGAAGGGTTGTTGACCAAGGAGTAAAATGTATACACATACTCATTTTAGTTACAGAAGTCACCAGAAGGTCCTGACATTCTGTATGTCGCAATTTCTCGGGTAGGCAGAATACCAAGAATTCAACGAGTGGGATAATGTGAGGGACTCTCCTCTGCTGTAGTCTGCAGTATATTCAATTGACCAACATTAAGGACCAAGTATGAAATGATTTGAGAGGTGAATGGAGGAAAAGTGGTCCGCCTTATTTTCAACGATGGTCTGAAAGCATTGTTAGGCTGCCCTGAACTGTGAGCTCATGGATTTAAACTCTTGCACAACCGCAGCTCCAGTGAGGTCATCAGTGACAATCGGTTCAGACAGTTCAGTGTTGGGGCAATCAACCGCAGTGGACAATCAATCTAACTGGAGCACGTATCCAATCGTCGTCTGAGCGATATCCTAGATTGAATCACTTTCAGCCCCGTGGCCTTCGAAACCCATCTACTCAGAGTATGTCATGTACTCAGAATGTACGTCTTGTATACATTGAAGTTGTCCACATATTCCACCTCGTGCTAAACTCTTTCTACCTCCAAACCATTATTAACTCGCAAGACGACTTGCCATGGCTTTTGGAGACTTGCAGTTGCTAGTAATTCCAACTCTTAATGAGTTCTGCACTTGTTCCAACATGTCGACCACCACCGTCGTTTTCTTTTTCGCACACTAAATAATAAACAGATTATTGCAATTTTGTGCGGGTCTTTTCGAGAAAATGGTGAAAAAGAAAAAGAGATTTGTATTGTCGTGACTATTAGGAATGCCGTCGAAGAAAAATCGCCGTCGAATGTCAACTGCAGTGGTGCAAAATTTTAAAAACGGCACGAGATTCACATCCAAGATAACTATAAATTAGGCCTCTTGTAGTTACTAGTAGTTATTCATCTTAACCTCAAATTTATTTGCCGACAGCTCTATTGAGGAGTATTGTTTGGTTTGGTATGTTTTCATCCTGCAAAAGCAAAATTAGAGCGATGGAATTGGCCCTCAGCTCCTCCACTAATATTCACTGAAGGTGCTACACCTACAATGGCCCTTCTACGTCTTTTCAATTTCACGTAAGAGAGTAAAATCATCTCATGCAGTGTACACAATGTCAGAATATACTGAATATATTATATACAGATATATATACAGATAATGTATTAATTACTTAATACACTGTGGTTTTAAGATACTTGAAATATGGAACCACGAAGACCTCTTCAAGTCCTGCATTAAGTATAATAAACAAATTCAAGTGTGTGTCGTCAAAATCGGAAGATATTTCAGTCATGGACCACACGCATGGTCAAGAGTGCACGGATAACTGAGGGCATTATGCTCCTGATATCCAAAAGCAGCCAAGAACTTGTGTGCCAGAATGTCCAAGCAGAATATTTCCTAATGAGTGAAGATAGCAATTTGCATCCTCCATCGCTGATACGTAGGAAGAGTCCTGGCCACTAGAGCGTCAGCGTGCTCTTTTTCGGTGAGCTTTCTAAGCTGGATCGGGTCATCGGGTTCATTCTGATCGATGGAGCATATGCCATCGAAAACTAGAACCTTCCTTTTGACCGAAAGAGATGCTTTGCTTTATCGAGTTTTGTAATGTTTCAGAATGTGTGGGTCATATCTCACGTTCGTACGCTTCTTCAAGCAGCCGAAATGTAAGCGCAACTTACTCTACGCATTGTCAACTGAAACAAATCTCGATGAAAGTTATGACGCCCACTAGTCGACAAGCCTTTCATTATATAGTTTAAAGTAGCAGATGGTGAACAAGGTTGTCAGGGTAGACAAGAAGAGTAGACAAGAAGATGGCGGAAGTTTCCAATTTCAAGTGTGGAAACACGAATCTTTCTGCATTTGCAATTTTGGCACGCCTGTTCCATGAGCATGGATGCTCTCAAAAGTGTTAGAGCAGACAATTGAAGTTAGAGCAGACAGCCAATTATCAGTGCTTGAGTGTCGTCGAAGATAACGAGGTAATGCAAGGATTGAAGGTTGAACTTTTTGAGCGTGGTGAAAGATCCATCAGAACCATTTGCACGCTCCGATCTGGTACACACTCTCCATTATTGATTGAGGATTTAGTTATTCACCTATGCACGGTCAATTCTTTTGAAGACTTTTAGCATTGCTGTGAAGATTAAATTATATTTTCAATTTCACGACGCAATGTGCTAGCTGCTGCGCAAGCGTGGGCTCTTGGAATCATGTCTGCCCGTGCGTTTGAATAATATAGATACTGAAGATGTGTTTCTCTTCGCTGTACTTACAACTGCGCTCCCTCTCGATGCTTCTCTGCACTCTTCTAATGAACGCCTTCTTCTGAATCACTGATTTTTCTCTTTTGGGTCTAGGGAGCAAAACTCAATAAGACTGGATAAGAGAGAGCTCTGGGTGTAAGATATGAAAACGAGGGAGCTAATTCTTACAGCAAGTAGAGGTTAAGAGACACGTACAATCTGACATTTTGTTTCCTAACTTTAGTAAGACATTACCATCATCACTTCCACATGATGAAGACAAGATGAATCAATTACAAGTGTCGGCGATGTGATGGAAAAAACAGACTTAAAAGATTTTTCAAACCGTGTGTAAAAGGATATCGGTCAAAATTGTCGACGTATGTAGAGAAGTGTTAATACGAGCTCTAATACAAGCTTCATGGCAGCAAGGGAAGAATAAACACCAATCTCGGTAACGCCAAAACGGCCTTCAGATTGTATAAAGACTTTTCTGCCCTCGAACCGAACAGTCCAAGGCCTAAAGCATTAGACATTAGAGCGCATGAGGAGAATCTGAGTTGCATACGAAATCGATAGACCAATTCGGTGTGGAGCCAAATCAGAAGAGCCTCAAAGCTCACAAAATGTGCATCTAGCGATGCTCTAGCTGATGATGACCTCTAAGGATGACGGTCCATCTTTTGTGCATGTATGCCTCAGAGTCAGTGTCGGGTTAGTCTCCACCATCTTCAATCATCTGGTTTCGTGCGCTTTATCAACGAAAGTGCTTGTACTCAAATGGTCTTGTGTACCTAGATCATGTTTGCGTGCACTTTCTTAAGGAAAGTGCATAGCTTGTACCTTGATTACGACCCCGTCGTCACAATGATTCAGGTACCCGACGAGCAGATCGGATGAAGCTCGAAAGCTGACGTCTGTACAGAAGGATGTTTTATAGGACTGATTTTCATAGGCCTCGAGGATTTAGTGACTGGAAATGCATCAAGTGCGTGATTGAAGAATGGATCCGTCGTTAACTATACATTGTTACTTTGACTGCCTGCTAGCTTGATTCAAGAGAGCATTTTGTTAACCTTCTGAGCCAAGCGGGCCCCAATAAGCTTCATTCTCGACCTGCCTGCAGCTCTACTTTTCAGACCTTCTTGTGGGGTCAGTATCAGGATCGGTGAGGATGGATGATGATAAGAGGTCGGCAACTTTTGGAGTTCCACGTTTTCGATGATCTGGAACCACATACTATGGAACCACGATGGTACTAGGACCAAGGCAGAGTCAACGACGATCGCCTGTTAGCATCTTGGAGTCACGGCACATGCAACAACCTTCAATGGAGACGAATGGCAGCGAACTCTTCAATTCGAAACACCGAGTTCGAGGTCTGACTGACCGTCATGGATGCGTGCGGAGATAAAAACTTGTTCGGACCCATTAAAAATTGTAAGGGCTATGGCGACCTGAATATTCGTCAGGGCATGAGCGTCGGCCTATTCCCTGACGAACAAATCGTGGCGGCTGACACCTCTGAAGACGACCTACTCTCGAAGCGTATTAAAGGGGAGGCAGGAAAACGTGGAGAAGAATGCATTGAGCACGAACAGTGTGAATAGGAGGAGCATCAATTGGAATGCTTCGACCACGAGCTTGAGATTCTTCGGCCAAGGAAACAGCTCGTTGCCGATCAGATAGTTTGAACCACTGTCTGTTTGCAGGATAATGGTGAACTGAGACTGTCCAGAAGAATCTGACCATCAACGACGGAACAGAATTTCTTGTCCCAGTTTTAATAGTCACCTCGAAACTTCCTGTACATCCTCACGGCGATTGTGACCTCTTAGATTATGACTTCTTGGATTATCAACAAACTAAACATCGCTCGGCTTCGCTTGATTTTGAGAATATCGTTGTATTTCGTATCATTCTGAGAGGGAGTTTAATTTGTGCTTGGACGAAAGAGCAAACATGTAGTACACATTGCCCTAATTTTCTATGTTCCAAAGGATTTCTTCTAGGCTTGTACGCTATGCCTAGCCTCAGTTCATTACATTAATATGACCCCTGAACCATTGTGTCGTGAAATCTTTTCCATTATTTACCTACAGTAACTTCCGATTGAATAAAGTGCACCATTCGATCTGAAAAGGACTTCAACTTGATCAACGTTTTCAAAACTGCAAGACTGTCTCTCTCACCTGCAGTAGCTTCTAATCTGTACACATATTAAGCTTGGATTAGTTTCTCCAAGCTTGGACAGAGGCATACGTATGTGATATTTGAGATCCAAGACAGGTCCAGGGCTGTTTACATACAAGCTTATTTGAGGCTGTAACCTATCAATTATGCTAACTATTCTAAAGAAAACATTGGCAAGACGCATGCAAGGAAATTCCCGAGCTAAACATACGAGAGGTTCGTCAACATTCAAACTGTACAGAAGAGACAACATTCAGTTATGTAGAAGACAGAGCTTTTCACGGATGAAAGTGTCTGTTGCACATGGAGGCAAGCAACAATCTCTAAGAGCGAACTTTTACACATGATTAACATCATGAATGGTTCTTGGAGTGATCCTTAACGTATGGCTGGCTTTCTTTCTTTGTACAGAAAGCTATGATGTTGAAAAAATCTTCTTCTCAGATAAGAAGTACCGACAAGCAATCCGATCAGTTCAAAGCATTGGCCAGTGCTCTCGATTTTCTGCCAGTACTTGGAGGTACGTGAATCTCTGAAGCTTCTCAGCTTATAGAAAGTTAGCAGCAGGAAATCCTTGCGCGAGTGGTCGAGTTCCAGTTATACCTGAACACGCATCCTGTGATATGAAATCTTCGTGTTTGGTTCATGACTCTCCAATAGAATGCTCTACAATTGCGCATGAGAACAGATTCATCTCTAAGTTCTGGACGAAGAGTGGGAGTGAGAAGATGTAAAGACGATCAGATCCTACTGGGCTAAATCACACCAAGTCAAACGTCGTGGACAGGACCGATGATCTATCCTCGTCCTTCGAAAGCTATCTGCAAGACTTGAATCTTGTAATATCACCTCTCGAACAACAAAATCACCAACTTCCAACCTGCGAATGCTCTTAACTTTATATGTCAATGGAGACAATCACAATAAACACCAGTTCATATTTCTGGTTTTCCACTCCAAGGAATGTTCCCTGCCGATCGTTGAATTCTGTTGTTGTAAGAAATATGTACAAGGAAGCCGTCGGGCTCGCAACTCATGGACTTGAGCTTTGTCACGGCAGTGGCATGTGCCGTCTCAATTCTGAGCTCTGCTCGGCTGTAGCGTGATCAGCTGTGATTTGTACAACAAATCCGATCTACTGGAAAACTTGCGCTCGTTCGTCCTCAAGAGTGCTGGACAGAGAGCCAGAGAGGGGTACAGCACAGCAGAGCAGCACGCACTGACTGACGTAGATGGGAATGGCCAGAAGCAGCTCAATCTCAAATCTTTTGGCTGCTTGCTTTGGTTCCCTGCGGACCTTGTGTCTCGCTCACACCACAAACCTGTCGAAAGGGATTGTTCCCTCAAATCGATGAAGACGAGGTGGATGCGTTCACTGCAAAGCTCGATGCGGAACTGGTACCCGAAACATGAATCCGAATCCCAATTGCGGTCCAGGCATGGTCAACACCATCGTACAATCTTTCCAAGGGATCCTTAGGATCGTGATGTACGTGCCTCTCGGCGAAGGAGGTGACCACAGAATTCCCAAAGTGCCAGCTTTCGACCACCAAATTATACATGCTCCCGTACGCCGTGGTGGTCATCAGAAACGACCACGGGTAAGTTTTCTTTCGAATTTTCCCCCACGTCCATCGTCGGCACGACGGGACTCCGATCCTACGGAACGGGGACTGTGACCGTGCGAGCCTCATCCTGATGATGGCGACGGGTCCCGACTACGACGATGGTGCGACCCACGGCATGCAGAAGTCGAACCCGAACGATGCCATCTGGTCTCCGAGTTCCCGATTTGATCCGACCATGCAGCTGGACTGCAGCAGTGTGGTCTTTGGTGACTCTGAACGAAATGTTGCGATTTGGGCGAGTAATCTCCATAGATCTCCAAGTGCAAGACGATGGCAGTGCCGTGCTCTACGTCATGGACTCGAACGATGCGCTATGGAGTACGCAAACAAAGAATTTGAGATTGTGGCTGCTATTATTTGTCGAGAAGGAACTCCACCCGAATTCACAATGCTGGAGGCAGTTCTTAGATTGGAATCCGTGAGATGGATGGTTGAAAAGGCCATGGGGGCTCGATGTCACCTACTCCTTACTCTTCTCTGTAGTACAGAGAAGAAGTCAGACGATTCATGCACGCTTCCAGTTTCAGAATAGGCGACCTGTCAGAGTAAGATGCAATGCATCACGTCTGTCAATTCCTCACATTCATACGATTCCAACGAACTGTCATCCTTGACTGGCTCACGAGGAGCATATTGCGCGCTGCCAGTTTTATGTGCGGATTACATTCAAGTACTAAAAGCAAGCCAGAAGTTCTGCATTCTCGTGGCCTTGAACAGAAGACTTGAACATTTCGTTAAATCTTCGAATTGTCTGGATCACTCTGTCCAGATGTCAACTCTTTAGGAGGACCTGATTTTTTTTTCGTTTAGGAGTTTTTTTTTCTTTCAAAACTGTATTTTAGAGCCCTGGATTCAAAATTGTTGGAATCTTTATCACTCTCAAATTTTTTTGACTTCTAAACGAGAAGAAAAAGCTTTGAATAGACTTCAAGAAATTGAAGCACTTTTTTGGTTAGATAAAGTAATGACATATTCATCAAACAAAATGTTCCTGGCATGAACTTATGGAGTCTGATTTAACCATACTGGGGAAGGATCTGATGCCTCGTGTACTTGAGGCATCAGATCCATTGCAATTCAACGGGTGTCTCTCCACGAGTAGTATAAGATCTTCTAAAGCAAAAACATCATTATTATTAATTTTGCGACCAAGTAGTGACCTTTAAATGTCTTCTTTCATGCAACTTGAAGGAGCAAAATTATTCGTTGAGTTCACAAGGAGTCCAAAATCGGTTCCACGACGTTTGACGAAAGTATGTCCCTTGGAATTGTTATGCCTAAAGGAAGAAAAATCTACGGGGATCCAAAAAATGTAGCTCTTAATATTGTAAGTCAATGTTCTAAGGCTCAAAAAAGTCAACAACGATCGGTGTCCGAATGTTTACTCTACATTTTCAGTTTGTCGTGTTATTTCTGTACAAGTCGTCAAATTGTGAGGAGATTAAATATCTCCCATAAGATAATTTTCCCGCAAAGTAACAAAAAGATTATATGAGTTACAACATTTTTTTTATGCGTGGTTGGAAATATAATATGTCCATACTGTATGTAATATTTTCAAGCTTCAAGAGGACACATTATTCTAGACTCCCATTTTGGGACAAGCGAGAATAAATAATACTTGGGGACTGTCAAGATCACCCGTTAATTTAACGGGGTATCTTCTAGGGATCCCGCCAAATGTTCCAGTTGCCACTCTACATTACGGGTCTGGCTCGAAAACCCGCTTCATTGGATGTAAATTACTAAGTAGAAGGGAAATCCTTTTATATGTCAATCGTGCATTTCCCATGACTACCAACAAAATCATATTGTTATTTCGGCTAGAGTAGGTCAAAAAGTGTGGATGTAACTTTTAGTTGCACTATTCTATTTGATCACAATGCATCAGGAGAATCTCTTTCAAGAAACTTAATTTGAGAAGCAAAATAAGTTGTAAAAATGATATTATCTTTCATAAAGAAATTTAAACTGATGCTTTAGATCGAGAAATACTTAGAAAGTTTAAAGATGTAACAAATGATTACTCATCGATACCAACCAAATTGTTGTTCTAATTTAATGATCTAATCTCTTGCAGGCAGGATGACTGATTTATCAATCCATCGTCATTGCCTAAAAATATATATACATCTTTCATGGTGTGCTAGATATTATCGGGTGTTTTATTTTCAACATTGTAAAAAATCATTTGCTCATGCCAAAGTCTTGTTGTTAGAGGAACAGTCTACTTTCATTAATTGACATTGATCAAAGCCAAAGGTGCTAAAACTAGAGTGACTATCGATAGTCACTTGACTGTCGAGACAGAAAGGTAGCCCAAGGTATCACACTGAGAAATAGATTTGGCATCGAGGGCGAGTAGAAGGAGATGAGAGCAACTCTGAAGACGCAAGATGAGGAGCAGAATCGCAGCATTGCGTCTTCTGAAGAGGGAATGCCAGGACCAGAAGGGACTATGGAAGGTAGTCATTGAGCACCGATGCACCTGAATCGATGGGAGCGAACAGATGGTCTAGAGGAATCGCATGGAGAAGCAAAGATTGCAAGAAGGTGCAGAACGCATTTTCTGCATCCCCCATGTTAGTATTGAGAGAAATTCCGAGAAACAGGAATGAACAACAGCTCGGGCTCCAATTCGACAGTAGATGTGAAGAGTACAGTGGCAATACTCTGTAGTGTGGAATGTCACCTCTGCTCTCCTGGCTCAGTGTCCACCAGTAGCCCTGTAATCGAGATTGTTGGACGCTGCCAGGTAAAGAAATATCATGGTTCATTTCCACAGTCCAAGCTCGATATTTTGCACATTGATCCAACATATGCTCATGTACTCCTGGTAGCCAACATGATAGAAGGATGTAGAAGTCACTGGAACACGGATGTGTCAACTGACAGCAAAGCTTTGTCTAGTCCTGACCTTTAATTTTCGTCTCATCCTGACACTTCAGCAATACGTCTCTGTAATTATGGATTGCGTCATTTGTTTTTAATGTCACTCACAATATTTGAAGGCAACTATAAAAGAAATCCAATTCCAGAAAGGATTGTTCATGGAACTACTATAGAAATTATTTGGAGGGCGGCAACCCACCTCTACTAAGGCTGAGGTTAGAAGAAGTAACAATGACGGTGTTAAAAGTCAAAATGAAATATTATTTAATTTAGGGAATATAATATCCAAATGCAATACCAATTATCGAAAAAAAATTTTAAAAACATACTAATTAAAATTAATAAAAAAAAGGATTATGAGTATTTATTTAACTACAATCTTGATCTTGCAACGATCGAGCTTCGGCAGGGAGCTTTGCGAGACTCGTGCGAAAGAGAAACCTCCACTGTCTGATTCTTGGGTTGTGGCCGTTCCAGTAAAGTTTGTATTTCGTGAACATTCCTACCACATAAACTTTGTTTCCACACATACAGTTTAGAACTGACATGTATGTGAACTGGTCATTGTATAGATTGGTAGCTTTCTACACTTTTTCCAATTTGAAAATGAAACATTTTATCCTTATTCAAATTATTATCGGTGTAAGATTTCATATAAAGTTGCGCTCATGATTCATTAAGAGACAATTGATAATCGCAGTAGACAAATGGTATTTCATCCTGAGTAGAAGCACTGCGTTCGTTGAATGCAGTGTTAACTGGCGAGTTGAAGTAATCTTCTTACTCTCCATGCATGAAGATAAAAGTTCCTCATGTTTTTGCTTCTAAGAGTGATTCGCGCTCTTGATATACACCACGCCTCACTTAACAAGTAAGAGTAAACCATTCCAGATAAATTAGAGTAAAAATTAGAAATCATTAAAAAAATTTAATTAATTATTATAGTCATTTCGTTGTGATAGATGCAATTTGTATATTTTATTATGTATATGAATATCTATTTAGTTACTTGCATGCAAGCATAGCTCACCGAGTGATAATGTAACATTTAAGAAATTAAAATTCTTAACTTCTTTTTTATTTCAACGACATAATTAGAATATGCACAAAATTATCAAAAATTAAAATTTAGACATGCGTGTAGATGTTAACTCTACTCCATAACGTAGAGATATCATAAAAAGTAAAATTTCATTTAGTTACTCTCAATTCTTGAAATCTCATAATCCTTTCCATCTAAGTACTACTCCCATCAACCTTTATCTCCAAATTAACCTTTACACCTAAGATAATAAACTAAAATAATCTCATGGGTTCATAATTTTTACCAACAAGAAAAAATCTGTCATTTTTTTTCTATGAACCTTTTTAAAATTTCTCACCTTAGAAATCTAAAGTTGACATAAATCTTTTACTTTGTCATGATATTCATGTTGAAATCAGAAGTGTAATTTCAGACTAACAGTCAAAGATAAGTAAATAAAATTGATAAATGATCCTATTGATTTGTAAGGCTTGTCAAAATTTCAACAAGAAAATTAATCTAAATTTTTTTGAGAGAAAATAATTTGAGATTCATATCGAGAGTTAAGATAACTTGCAATTTTAGGTACACAATATTCAATTCAAAAAATTAATAGAAAATAAATTTTACATTACTTTAGGATGAATGAATTGAGAGAATTACTGTATTATTAAGTAGAAGAATTCTAACTTATTATATAATTTAAAAATAAATCATTAAATTCTAAATTTGGGGTACTTTTAGATACGAGAAGGACCTGAATCGAAGAATAACTTTTTCTAACATAACTTCTAAGGTTTTTCTAAAGAAGTTAAGAAAGTAAAGAATTATTATCAAGTATTTGCATGGTATGGAGAAGAAGTTATGATAACTTTCAGATTCCCACGTTTATATCAACATGATATTCATATTTATGGTGTCCAGTTTCTAGAATGTTTGGTATTGTAAATGGTATGAGACACACAATAATGTCATAGTGTCTCTTCATCGTTCCCTATATGCTACTTACGGGTTCATAGCATCGCTAGAAAGACACATGTATGATAGAGTGTTCTTGATTCTTAATCTTGCAAGATCTGTGATCTGTGTGGTCTTTGGCATCTTAGATGTCATAGACCACACATCTCGTTAGTCCGTATCAATTCCCTGATATTTGGATTCACAATAATTTCTTTTCCATAAAAGTTTTAATAAATGTCCCATTTGTATTTTCTCTCTCAAAGTCCAACAAAATATAATTTTCAATCTAAAAAATAAGTGATCAAGTGTTGTTCACTCTGCTCTCGCACAAAGAGTAAGTTAATGGCCCTCGTAGGAACAACTAATAGCTCTGCCATAACCTGTTTGCCTGCTGGAATAGATAAGCCAAAACCTCTTTGGATTATTACCTCACCGGCTGGAGGAAATAATTCAAAGAGGACTGACAGAATCCAGTTCCAGAAAAGGACAAAGAAACGGAATCCGTGAGACTCGGAATGAAGTGTGTTCGGAGGATGCGGATCCATCTCGCAAGGCGCTGACCTTCTGAATTTCCCGTGCCTCGGAGCGATGGAGGTCACGGAATCTGGAAATTCTGGAATGTTCGAAGCTCTTGACAGCGAGTCGCAAGAGAAATGGCCAGATCTGACGTGAGACTCACGGGGAATCAGTAAGAACCCGGCACTGCATATTCTGCTGACTCCGTGATTCTTAACTTGAAGCAAAAGGTGCCCGGAACTACTTAATCCCCGTGGAATGTGTGCATCGTGACACCTGGGCCTGCAGATCGGCAGCTGGCGCATTGTATATGAGGAATCACGAGGACCGGGTCCGAAGATCGAAGTTCGAATAGAGATATCGTCAATTTCTCGAACCACTGCACTCCGAAGAGAATTTTGATAGCTTTGAGTTTGGCATTCGGACCAGACCAGGTCAACCTGCGTCGGATTTGACTCGACGATCTGTGTTCTCGACGCATCTTGAGGACGAGGATTGCATCTGGAGGACGAGCGTGCGTGCGTCGATGTTTGTTTAGGTCAGTGGTCCTCCGACAGGTCTAGCCCGCGCACAGAATTCGAAAGTTACCGCGCCTAGACGTTGGATTTAGCGATCGGCGCCCCTTCAAGACCTGTCGATCGCCCTCGTAGATTCTTTCTGCTGCTGCTGCTGCTGTGCTGAGTGAGGGGAATTCGTTCGAGCGCCGAGCGAAGATGGGAGGAGGTGTCGATGACGATTCTTGCGCAAGCGAACTTGGACTTGTTGTGACCCATGGTCATGTTGCCGATGACGACGATTCTTGCGTAAGCGAGCGGGGGCTTGTTGTGAGCGATGGTGGTCATGTTGCCGATGACGATTCTTGCGCAAGCGATCGGGGGCTTGTGGTGAGCCATGGTCATGTTGCCCCCGCCCCCGAATCGACTCCAGAATACCTCGAGAAGCTCGTCACCGTGTTTTGCCAAGCTGGCCCCAACTATCGGCTGTCCATGAGAGCGGACGGCATAGTCCTGGCATTCAAGAATCTCGAGGACCCCAAGCAGCAGTGGGTCCAGATCGACATGGGCGACAAATTCCAGGATCAAGAGGGCTTCCCCGCATTCATCCTCGTCAACAAGGCTACTGGACACGCGATGTCCCACGCCCACACCGTCGGAGACGTCGTACGTCGCAACAAATGTGTTTGATTGAGAAATTGGAATGACATGTTTGAAAGGGTATCGGTATCTGCATTCGTTCCGACGTCAGTGGCGATTGGGTTGTTCGATTTGAGCAGCAATTTCATGGAATTTCATCGAACTCTTCTTTCGATTTGAGCAGCAATTTCATGGGATTTGATCGAACTCCTCTTTCTGGTTTGTGTTGGCAGGTCACTCCGCAGCTGTACACGGCCAACTCCTTGAACAGCGCCATTCTCTGGACTCAGGGCAGAGATGAAGGCGATGGTTTCACTGCCATTAGACCAGTACACGATATTCGCTTGAACCTGGATGCTGACCACGCGAGCAAGAAGCACGGCGGTGTCGAAGATGGCAACAAACTGTTGATCTTCACCTGGAACAAGCAGGAGAATCAGTTGTGGAAGGTTGTTCCATAATCCGATCAAAACGCGAGCTGGTTGAAGTTTATAACTTGTAGTTGGTCTGCTTTACACTTCTGCTTGGCTTTACCTTCACAGCAGTTTACTTGAGTAGCCTATTAGCACGAATTGGCATGAAGCCCTTCACGTCATACTTCTGATCCACATTCGTCTTTGTGAATTTGTTTTGCAGATAGTCGAATTGGTACGCGTTTAGTTCATATGCATCTTCAAGGGTTTGAAGTCACATCACATCTAATGAGCGCTGCTGTTATATCGAAAGAGCTCAATACATCGAAAGAAGCATCTGAAATGGAAGCTTGTGGGCGAGTCTCATGAAATTAACAAGAATGTAGTCATTTTTTAAGCTCGTAGATGGAGATCTGAATATACTAACGGGTTAAGACTACAGGTTGCGCCTGCTCATAGCACGACGTAAAAGAGTATGCATTGTTGGCTCGTTCAATTGTTCGCATCACTCGCAGGAAGAATCTTAGCTACTGGCCGCAAACCTTCATAAATTAGAAACAGGCGGTCAAGGAGTTGGAACAATTAGCCTATTCGGCAATGATGCGGCAAGGCAGAATGGCTGTCGAAAAGTTCTTTCATAGGCAGCTGACATGATCTCACAATTTTGTATTTTACTTGTTTTGTTGATAAATTGTATTGTCATGAAGTGATTCTGTTCCCAGACGGAGTGTGAAATTCGAAAGCCATCACGTTCGTGATCTATCAGTGAACTGCACACTGTGTTTAATATTCCAGATTGCGTGAACCGATGCCTACTTCCTGTATCTTGCGAGTCACATTTACTATCTCTTTCTAAAATCAGCGGAAAGACTGCCTTCATTAACACGCTCCTGATGTCTCTTCTCTTCAGTACTGATTTCATACTTGCTTCCTTTTTCCCGATCATTTTGTGCATGCTCCGTGGAGTCATTTAACGATGACCTATATCAATTTTCTTTTGTCATATGCAAGTCTGCCTTTTCGTCTACGAGGTTAATAAGACATTATTATAAAGATATTTGTATATCTTTATAATTTTGGAACAGGTCAAACCTTAGTCCCGACCTTTTGTTATTCAGCATTCAAATAAAAGAAAAGTCAGCAGAGCCTTGAGAGTCGACACGTACGGAAGAAAGGGTCCTTGTCAGGTTCAATGGTTGGGAGAGCGGTTGAGAATCACGAAGTTCGTTTTATGAAACGCGGGGAAGTCAAATATCGACTCATATTTATTTCAAAATATATATTTTTGGGAGTCTTGTTTTTTAAAACGAAGCTCTAGGGTGGGGTCTACGCTCTCGCTGAAGGTACAGTACTGTTAAAGTGCAGCTTCGAGATAGAAATCCGAATTTGAGTATTGATTCTTGCACAGTACTAGTTATAGTTAATTTCCAGATTAAAAAAGGTTATATTGCGGGGGAATTTTTGATATATCAACAGATGTTTATAATTTACTTCAAAATTTACTTCAAAAGCTAACATCCAAATGTCATCTAGATATTTTATTTTTTTTATTATAGTTTATTTTCCTAGTTGTACGTGAACCATGTGCAAAAATTTTTTGGTTGTATCTCAATGGGTTTTATTATAATTTCTATCATAAATATATAATTTTCTTCTCACATATATTGTTAATAATTATATTCTAGAACATATATTATCATACATTAATTTTTCTTAAAATTAATTTAATATTTTTTGATATTTTAGATGCTCAAGGCGATAAAAATTTTCGTGAGAAAATTTTATCCATAGCCAATTTAAATGTTAGAGCATTAAAGGTAATTCTACATAATACTATAAGATCAGCCATTCCGCAACTATCGCATATCTATTCCTTTACCATGGGGTGTGTATGTATGTATGTATGTATATATATATATATATATATATCTCTCTCTCTCGGCTAGTTATCACTGATTTAGGTCTAATTAGCCCTCACTATACAGTCTTGTTGGGTTATAGAATTCGTGGGAGAAGTACCAACTTGGCGGGTTTTCCTTCTGCCTCAAAGATGACTCCGTGGCAGACGTCACGTCAAAGCTACAGCTGCCACCTCCATTTCATGCTTCATGTGATGCGATCTTCGTTGTGAATGCTATTAGATTTCACCACTTTGAGGAAAACGGAGTGTTTATCGAAGAACATCTTCCCGGCACAATTTCACGCATTGTTGTATGTCGATGCTCAAGTTACATTGTGTGTGAATCGAATAAAACTTTGAATGAACGTAAGAGTTTCTCTCACATCCACATATTAGATTCAGCATCCAAGCATCTCTTTTATTTATAAGTCGGTGCATATGTTTCACATGATAATTCCACGGTGCACATATTTCACATGATAATTCCACAGTGCACGGAGGTTCATGAGATGTCATTCACAGCAGAGATCGAACAGTGAAGCGTGTCAAGCATCACGCGGAGGTGACAAATGTGGCTTTGACGTGGCGTATACTACATATGCATCCTTGACGCAGAGAAGAAAAAAGAAAAACTTGCCAAGTTGCTACTCACTTCACAAAAGTTATAACAAGGTGTAATAACCCACCAAAGGCTAAAACAGCAGTATAGCAGCAAAAGGTAGAACCCACAAGGACAGAGGCAACACACAGAATACAAAGTGTCACATTTAACAGACTATTGAAGAGTTTGAATTCTCAGGCGACTGTCACTCCCAGAAATACTGCAAGTGCTCAACCCGGAGGACGCACGGTGCAGCGTAGTTCACTCAACACACACCTGAAACTATAGAAACACAACTCATAGGTCGGTTAGGACCTCTACTTAAGATTTCAGGGGGAAAGTTTATCACGAGTACATTCAGAGGCTCTGCAGGTAATGACTCCCAACTCCGGCTTTTACAACCCTTCCTCTAGTTTCTACTAGCGCAGGGCACCCGGTTTGGACTTCCTACTTCGGATGCGGTATCTTCGTCAAACCGAAGTCACTCACACGCGGTGAACAACACACTCAACACACAAAACGCGCAGAGAATACATGTTTGAACTGAGAGACTCAACTGAGAAACGATCCTGTGGCACATCATAACAGTCTATTGACGAGTTTGAATTCTCAGGCACTAGTCATTCCCAGAAATACCACAGAGGTTTGCCCCGAGGGCGCCTTCTGCAGCGTAACCTGAATTACAACCCAGGTTTACTCGAATTAACAAAACTTCACTTTGGCATTTAGGGGAAACATCCCGAAGGAGTACAAACAAGAATAATCACCCGAAGGTGTAAGGACGAACTGCTCAAGTATCAAACCAGTTACTAGCTTTGAGCATTCAGCAATGTGGTAACCCATTTTTTGTTTTTGTGCGGAATTTAAAACATTTTGGAAAACAGTACCGCAACAGCGATGTGGTACCCCACTTTTGGTAATTTTGAGGAAATTAAAACACTTTTGGAAAACTGTACCACGGCAGCAATGTAAATAGCCTTCGGTGCATCAAAACAGAGTGAATTCGGAAGATCGCAGGGATTCTCGAGGGACCTCGTAGAATCTAGGAGTTGGGTGCAGCGGTAAGGAAGGGCACCACCCTCCCTGCGAGCTCTACAGTTAGGATCCCTACGGCGCAAGGCGCAAAATCCGCCTTCGGCGCTGCGTCCGCGGCGGTAGGGAAATCCTTCATATTTAGGTCAACCCCCAAACGTCTTGACTTAGTTAGGGTCTCGTTGGAAAGAGCTCGACGCGCTGATTCCAACGAGCCCAAGAACGCCAACAACGGATGAGGACTCCGGGAGTTATGAAGGTTGTAAGATACTCAGCTCTTCGCCTATGCATAGGCGGAGAAGTTTTGTCCTATGCGCGGACGAAGGAAGTTCGCCTGCGCACAGGCGAAATAGGGTTTTGATGTAGGCGCGAAGTTTGCCTACGCACAGGCGTGCGCCTGTGCACAGGCGCTTCGGCGTCGGCGGGAAATCCGCCTTCGGCCCTAGAAATGCGCCTTGTGAGGTAGAAATTGTACGGCGCCTTCTGCGCCAGCGCAACGCCGCGGACGAGCAAGGAGCCGCCAGAGTAGTAAAATCCGTACGGACTGTACGGACGGGACGGATGGATGCGCTCTTGGACGGACGGAGTTGCGGCGGCGAGAACGCCGACGGAGAGACAAGGAACGGACAGTCTGGGCGGAGTCGGTTGACCGCGGTCAACGCCTTCTGCGCCAGCGCATCAACGCAGACGGACTTCGCCTGCGCGAAGTCCGTCTGCGTGCATCCTCTTGTGCACAGGCGCTCGCCTGTGCACAAGAGGATGAAGTTCCGCGCCGGCGGAGAATCCGCCGAGGAGTCCGCCTGCGCGAAGGCGGGAGTTGAACTTTTGTCCGACATGCGGACACACGCGCCGAGGCAGAGGAGGATTGGCTGAGGAGCGGTACGAACGAGTGTACCGCGCAAGGCGAAAAATCCGCCTTCGGCGCTGCGCACCCATGTCCGCGGCGTAGTACGCTCGCGGAGTTCAAATTCGTCAATTCGAGCGTGAGAGTTAAATCGGCGTCGGCGGAGCGTGAAGCCGCGCGTGAGAGCGGATACCGTTTTAGCGTAGAGCCGGCGCGGCCATCAATTGAGTCGTCCTTCACGAGCAAGGGCCGACCATGACCTTCGACCGGGAGACATAGAGCGCCCCATTCTTGAATTCGCGATTCCATTCTCTAGTGCGAGCTGCGCGCGTCCACCTGCTGGCTGCTAAGCATTCTCGACATCGCTGCGCAGAGGATTTCTTGGTAATTGAGGGAGAAGTGAGTGCGCGTGATTTGGAATTGAGGGAGATTAGAGTTTGCCAAGGAAGAAAGGAGCTCGAGCGGAGCGGAAGGAGAATTAGCAAGCAGGCGAACTCCGAGAACGCAATGACGAGACTGGGCCGATTGCGGATGCTGCCGCTCTGACTATCACAGAACGGGCTGCGCGCTTTCGAGGAGCGCCTGATAGCAAGAAAGCTCGATTTCTTGCTATGGGGATGGAACTACATCTGTGTGGATATGGTGCGCGAGTGGCTAGAGCCACAGGGACCACCTACGCGCGGGTTGCGGCCGAATGTTGATCGATGGACGGTCCAAGATTGGGCGCAGGCATTGGGGAGATGTGCCGGCATCCCAGGGCACCTCCTCTTCGATAGTGAGAGCGTCAAGGTGTCCAAGCAGGAAGAGGCGCAATTTGTGGAGCTGTTCAAGCGGGGGAAGTGTACCAAGAATGGGTACAAGACCCGCGATTACAAGGATCGATTCCGCCGAACTTTGGCTACGGCGCTGCTGCAATTACTGCAGCCACACCGCGCCTGCTACATCACATTGTGGCAGGTCTCTTTTGTGGAGTGCATCATCGAGGGAACTCCAATTCACTGGGCCAGCATCCTGCACAGGGTGATGCGACAGCACGCTTTTGAGGAGAAGGGGGGAACTCTAAATCATCTCTCTCCTTTCGTCATCAATTTTTATCGACAGCAAAATTGTTTGACCGCGGCGGAGCTTGCTCGTTTTCCGCCGTTGTCCGTCGACCACCCCGGGAGGTATGTGCGGGAGAATGAGGTCGACACTGATGCAGAGGAGTCGCCGACTTCTACTCCGTCAAGGCGGAGGGACGAAGGGAGGAATACTCCTGCAGCAAGAGTGCCGCGGAAGCGGCGATGGAGAGAAGAGTCCGAAGAGGAGCAGCATCAAGAACCCACTGCTCCCATTCGACCGCGGCCGTTGTACGAATCGTACAGCCGGCCGAAGCAGAAGGCGCGCAGGCTGGTGTTACC